TTTTTAATTGTTTTAAGGTATTTGAAGGATTTCTCAATTGAGAACATTTAAATTATTTCTTTTATATTAAACATAACAAATTTCAAATGATAATATCTCGAAAAATGTATATAACGGCGCAAATATATACTTATTTTGTTAGACAAATTTACAAAACTGATTAGGCTAGTTTCGAACGCTGATCCAGAGTTCGCACTTGGATTTCTACTATTTGCAATCTTTTGTGTGTAGAAACAAAACCTTTGTATTTGATATTATAAGACAACAAAGCGTCATTGACAAATAAAAATTTGTTTTGACGTTTAATTTCTATTTCCACCAGTTCGAATAACTGAATGTTTGAACTCGCGAACTCGGCACAATTAAGAAGGCAGTGTTGAGATGTTTCCGCCTCATCTTTCTCCATACAGCTTTTTCAGCAGGCTTCCAGTAGAATTCCCAACCGCCGATAGGATAGCGAACTGTTAGAACCCCCAAAACTAGGGAGTGGCTAGTCTCACGAAGGGTACAGGGCTCACTAGACCTCTTATAATCGATCGATTCCCACGAAGCCCAGCTACCCAGCGTAGAACACACGAAGATAGTAAAGCAACGACTAAAACCTTAAGTAATCTTGTCTTACCAGCTTATCAGCTTTGCAATTACCTGAGATTCCATTGTGGTCTGGTGCCCGTACTAATCTTAGCACAAAGTTACTCGATGTCATTTTTATAAGATTAGGCATTTCTTGACCAACTCTCGTTGACAATAAAACTAGGCTACATGTTACTATTGACAGTCCTATAAGCTGTACGAGATATACGATGACTTTGTCTGGCTAGGTCATGACGTCCGAATGGATAAAAATACTATAGCTTTCAAAGTATTCGACGCAGTATCTCCCGGTGGAAGCAGAGGTTAACTCGGCTATAACCGCGTAATAGTTTCTACAGTAAAGAGAAAGAAAAGGCGAAGAAACTCCAACTAAATTCACAAAATAGCGATTATGTCACACTTTCGGACAAACAAATTTTCAATAATCCCTTTTGGAAAACCTTTACACGTGAATAATGTCAATGTACTTTAAACATATGTAAACAAGATACAAAACGCATCACAATTATGGCAAGCAATCATAAAAGTAAAGGATATCTCATCATCATATGTATATACTATGTCTTTACGTATGTACTTATGATTTGAATACGCTCACACGCATTTGTTTTTATATATGTATGACTAACCATCAGTTAAAGCAGGCTCAAAAGTAAACGCATGTGGTTCGATTTGGAACCATACTATTTAAGAGGAAAGAAAGTGTATGGTCGATGGTAAAGATTACTTTTGGATAAACTTTCAATACATGTTTGAATATAAACAGAATATTTTTCAAAACAGTGATATACTATGAGCTTTAAACTCTTATTTAACTTAGCATAATGAAAAAGTTCTTCTTCACAACAAGGTTCAGCAGTTTGTTGATACTGCAAATATTTGCACAAGTTCTGAAAATCCCAGACACAAATATTTTACAGGAATGTATGTATGTAAATATAAATATTTTCAACCTTTTGGATTAAAAAAAAAAAAAAATTTAACTTCTTCACGTCAACAAAAAAAACCACAAGTTATGAAGGTCGACTTAATTGTATAAAATATGGGAGAAAATACCTGACAGGTTTAATGAATAAGGGCGCGAAGGTGTCATGAGCAGTTTGTGAATTTAAGGGCGGTACCAGAAGTAATGAAAGCGTATAATACGAGCACCCGCAACATAAGAGGAAACAGATGTTGCGCTTAGAATATTTTTTGAAAAGTGAAAACAGCTGGCGTTGAAACACTGGTGGGAACCACAAGGGCAAAGCGAAAATAGTTTCACAGAAATATATGTACATATGTACAATATATTAGGTTGCCAAAAAAGTCTTGCGGTATTTTCGCTAGTTGGCACTGAGAGCGCGTACTCTAGTTTTATTCGTCGCATCGGGGATTTTTGGAAAGCTCATTTCACGCGCTATCATTGATTGATTGCCGTTTCTTTTACTTCGTTCGTGAGCTATAGCGTCGCAAACATGGAGAAAACTAAAGAGAAAATACGGCATATTTTACAGTACTACTACGATAAAGGCAAAAATGCATCTCAAGCCGTGAATAAAATTTGTGCAGTTTATGGACCCAATACAGTTTCCATTTCCACCGCACAACGATGGTTTCAACGTTTTCGTTCTGGTGTAGAGATGGTCGAAGATGCGCTACGCACCGGAAGGCCTGTCGTCGAAAATTGCGATAAAATCGCTGAATTGCTCGAAAGAGACCGGCATAGTAGCAGCCGTAGCATCGGTCAAGAGCTGGGCATGAGTCATCAAAAAAAAAAAATAAAAATTTTATGAACAATTGAAAATTCAATAAAAAAATACCGCAAGACTTTTTTGACAAACTATTATGTATGTATATCTACTTGATGTCTATATAGTCAGCTGAAATGCAAAATAACATATCATCAAAAAATTCGAAATTCAGTGTCTTATTGATTACGCTCTACTACTTCAAATTAGGTACATAATATTACATATGTTCTACATTTTCAGGTTCTGCGCTCATATATAAACCAGATTTAACCAATATTAAATTTTTTTCACGCATATTCCATTTTATTTCGTGTTTCACTCATGCCACTGTAAATTTCTGAAAATTTTGTTACGTTATTTTACATTTCAGGTGACGATATGAAAATATCGTTCAACGAAATATGTTTAAAGCAGTAGAAATATTAAAAAATATATATTTAAAATGCTTGAGATTGCAATACTTCATATAAATTTTATGGAAAGAAACATTTTATAGTAAGTTTTATTGTGAAAGACTTTCAGTTAAAGAGAGTTTGATGATAACTCGCGACAATCATATAACTGCTTACTCTTTACAGTATCGGTTTATGCCAGTTAATGTGATTTATGCCAGTTGTTTGTTCGATTTGCTAATTTTCATATGCAGGCAGAGCACAATACCGACTGTATTTTCCATCATTTGAGGACTTTAGAATAAAAACTAACGTATTAAGTCCGCATATTCCCAGCAAATAGTCAGCTTAAGTTGCCCAGACGCCACTCCAACAATAAAATATGTAAACAGTTGTATGCAGTTGTAGATAATTGGCTACAATAACAGTGTGTGACTGACCTGTAAGGTTAATTAAATTTCACATTGCTTGATGATTTTCTAAAATTAGCTAATTACACTGTTGGCGCAGGCTTAATGAGCCACTGGCGCTAGCTTAATGACCGCCAGGTATCAGTAGTAGCAATTTTATTTGCAAACTCAATGTCAAGTCGAAAGAAGGGCTTTATGTTGTACATAATATATTGAGATGTTAGTGACTGTAGTATAAAAATTAATCACTTAAATATTACTACAGAACTGTACACTGTAACATCAATCATAATATACTAAATCCAATTATGAAAGTGAGTAAATTTAACTCAAAACAGAAAATGATTAAAATAGGCACAGAAAATTTATATAAATATTAAGTACTCTGCATTTAGTGCCTAAATTACAAGTGGAAGCAAATTTTGATATCTGTTTTCAATTCTTTAAAGAAATATATATAAATAAAGTCATATTTAATAGTGTGGTATCTCCACCGATATTAAGAAAACCCTTTAGGTTCGGTTTGAAAATCTTTACGCCAGTTATATTGGGGCTAATATAAATATTGACCCGATTTTTCGCTGATTGGGCTCAAAAGCAAACCATTTTCACGAAAATATTTTCTCTGAATTTCTATTATATGTCAGAGTTTAAACGATATTTTCGCCTAACCATTGGCACTGAGCTCCACAAGTAGCAAGGCACTTGACAAGCTATAATTGAATTTCTACTATATTTATTTATAAATGTAACAAAAATGCCGTCAAGGTTTTATTTCTATTACTTTATTGGTGCTCGATTTATATTCTTTAAAGCCAAAGCTTGGTATGGAATTTAAAATCCTATACATTTAAATAGAATCTTTAAGCAATTGAAAAGCATTCTAATGACTTCCTTTCAGCAAGTTTGGTTGAAATAGCTTTAGTGGTTTGTGGGACATCCTCATTAAATCTATTATATGCCAATTTTCCGTCACTTGTCACTGGGATATCTGTGTAGTATAAATCACAGTTACATATCTTAATTTGGAGCTTAGTTATAGCTCTTTATATATTTTCACTTAATGTCACATTGTTGGCGTGCCAATCTACCAATACCGCGCTTAGACAATGAAAACTTGCCTTGAGTGCCAAAGATCTTATGGTCAAAGATTAATCACGATATCTCGTCTTTTACGCACTTTCTGAATATACATACATATGTATGTATGTATGTACAGCACTTTGTAACTATCTCAATTGGTTTTAAGTATCACAAACAACATTTAGGTGAACAAATTTATAATACTCTATAGCAATACGTTGTGAGCGTAAAAAAATAGAAGAGAATCTTACGTTCTAATTCGATTATTCAGAGTTCCAGTTTTACATAAATAATTTTATAATTAGCTAATTATAATTTCGATTTTTTATGCTATCAAAGTAAAACTATTTAGCTTTTGTGAATACAAATTTGCAACCAATAGTCAAATGAAATAATATCGAAGAAAACATAACAAAATAGCACATTTTTTATAAGAAACTGTTTCGTAGCATTAAGCTGTTTTTATACATATTTTGTAAAATTTATTTAACATTTTTATAACTTTTTTTTTTATTTTTTTAAATAATCACTTTTTACCACACAAAAAGCGGTGTAAAAATTCGTAACTCATCGTGGAATTACTTACTTACTATTTTCTTCGAAATTCTATGACTATTTTAAAAATTTTTATTAGCACCAATCAATCATTTATACACATTTGCCCAACTTTTAGCTACTACTGCTTGGAATAGTACCAAACTTTTAATATAATACTTCAATTTGGAGCATTATCTTATCACCGAGGGATAATTAAAAATATATTCGAACTTATATTTGCATATATTTACCTCAAAAATAACGACGCTGTGAGTTGAAATGCGATTAATAACTAATATTCTTCGTAACTTGCTTGCTTTCGTATAAATTTCTTTAAATGCACTATGCTATAATTAGAACAATAATTCTGTATTTTATAATCACTTATTAAGCATATTTGCATTTATCGCCTACAACAATAATTTTATATTCATGTATGTGCATGCAGTAACTTGCAGAATAATTTCTTTGCAATAAATCTTCGCTTATCGCTTACAATTCAACACTTTCACAATTTAGCGTAAATTTCTGCAACAATTCAGCACTTAATAAGCACATTTGCCCACAAATAAATAATTTCCATTTTACACACACACTTCATTTGCGATAAACGCATACAATGGCGGCTCATTACTTGAGCTGGCCGGCCTTTGGCTTGTGACTCCTCGGGTCTCGCCACCAACAAGCACAGCAATCCAAAAGGGCGAATATGCACGATAATTAACTTTTTTCGTTGTTGTTCACTTGATTTTGATGAATTATAATGAATTTATTCGCGTACGCGTTGTAAGTAGTTTTTTCGATTTTGCCTTTTCGACTTTTTTTATTGCCTTTTGAGCTTACTCTTTTGCTGTGTAATAATAATAAATTCAACAACTGCAACACAAAATGAAGCACAACGATCTGCCGATACAAAACGAACACACCGACACTTACATGTTACAAAATGCAGCACAAAAAGGGGGAGGGTAAAACGGCACTACGTACAAAGTGCAGCGGCAGCGCAGCGACCAGCTGACGTTTATTATTTATTGTATGCGCTACACTTATGTATGTTTGTGTGTATGTATGCACGTCTAGGGGGTCTGACCGGTCGTTAATGTAGAGAATGTTGCGCGTTTGCCGGCAAAGTATGCAACAATTGCAGAAATGCTGGACGCGTTGAGTACTACGACTGCACTGCTAGCTGACAGCTGCGGCACCGACAACTGCCACTATTTCGCGACAGGTGACAGCTGTCAATATTTGCCCCTGCAACGCACACTTGGGATTAACTATGGCTCACGCACATTTGTTGCGACACAATTTTTCTCGTTTCTAATAGTATTTCTAATGATTATTTCCTTTCAAATTAAATACACCGAAAGTTGTGAGGTTCGTAGTGAGAGAATATGTAAGACACACGCGCACGCACTTCAATATCGTTTAAATTATAGTTGGAGAAAATATATCAAAAATTACTTTGGAGTGTTAGAAAAATTGAAAGAAATCATAAAACCGAGCGACGAGAAGCGAAGTTATTTCACACAACATCCAAACTAAACGAACAGACGACGAATACTGAATTCGCTGCTGCTGCTGCTGCTGCTGCTGGCCAGTTACTTGTTACGACTCCAGTGGCAAAGGCAAACCAGCTGCGGTGCACTGAGAGCGCATGCATTTGCGTGGCGTCAGAGAGCGTCTTCCGGTGTGGTGTTTGCTAGTGTTGAGCGGTACGCGTTGAAATGGAACGGAGAAGAGCAGCAAAGTTGAGTGGGAGAGACCAATTCGTTTGAGTTTTATTTAAGTAGGCACGAAATGATAATGAGACGTTGGGTGGTGGAGCACTTGCATTTGTTGAGTTCGTTTGTGCAGAGCGCATATAAGAGTTTGCGAATGTTGTGAAAGAGGAGGTGAAGTAAAATACGAAAATGCATTTGTTTGTGCTGAAGTCACAATCAGCTGTGCGGCGGCGAATTGTGTTGTAGAAAAACAAAAAAGCACAACAAATAAAAAATGCATAATTAAATGAAGCGGATAATAATAATAATAAATAAACCAACAATTAAATTGTGAGTAAAATTAAATGAAATTAAAATTAAACATAGATAATCAAAATTAATGATATGCAGAAAGTTTGATAATTTTAAATACATTTTTTTTGTTACTGCACGAAAAAAATATTGTATGTGTGTAAAATCGCGTTCACGTCTGTGAAATAATGCTTTCCGACTACCAGGATATCGTGAAGCTGGCGATGAGTCTTCGAGCTATGCTTACGACTCGGAAACTGCCAATCAAGCGTCTGAATATCGAGGCAAAAGTGAACCGAAGCTGAAAAAACACCTGAAAGCCGGTCCAAAATCAAGGTTATGTAGACAGAGTCCGTTGTGGTTTTACGTGAGTTCCTGCCTGCGAAGGCCTAACCCCACGG